CTGCCCAGAACAAGCTTCCTTATCTTTTCCCCTTCGCACCCCACCCTGTTCCCCGTCAGGCCTCTGCTCAAATGTCCCTCAGAACTTTCACATCCCCTTGAAACCTCACGGTCCCGGCCCTGAGATGAAGAAACAGGACAGTGGGTATCTGTGCTGAGGACCCAAGGCGTGGCCAGACGCCACTGGACAGAGGTGGAGGGGTGGGGGGAACAGGAGCCCTGGAGGACACTCTGCCCTCCAGTTCCACTGCTGTCCCCGCAGGGTCTCCAGCCCTCTTGTTATGTCTCTGCAGTCACTGGGCAGAGCAAGGACCTCCGCAGTCTCCCAGCAAAAGCTGGCTTTGCGGTGTTGTTCTGAGTTCAGCCCACACACCTCACGGTGTGGAGCTCTGTACTTCTGTGAAGCCCGGGTCTCTTGTCTTCCTCCAAAGCCATAAAAGGTGACAAAGTCTCCCAGCTGCTGAAGTCCCCTGTGCACAGCTCAGCTGGGAGACTTTGCGGCTTTGCTAAGGGAGGCCCGTGGCTGCCTGCTCACCTGTGTCACCCCGAGGAGAGGAGAGATTGCCTTATAGGGCCAAGAGCAACCACCCCGTCAGCAACCAAGCACAGACCTGGGAGGGTGGAGGAAGCGTTCAGTTTCACAAGAGGCTTGTGAGGCCTCGGGCCTGGGGTTCTCTTATTGCTGCAGACGGGTCAGGGTGCCTAGGCCAACTCAGAAGCAGGTGTTCAAGTCAAATAACTTCCGACCCAGTGGTTACAAAGAACCACACCCAGGCTAGAGCTGGGAACAAAGTATCTCTTTTATCCCTCCAAACAACTCTGTAGGAGGTGGGGGGAGGGCAGGCAGTCTCTTCATTCCCACTCGGGAGAGAGAGAAGGCCACATCTGGAAGATCAGGAGCTGGTCCTCCAAGCAAGTAGAAGGGGGGGGGGGGACGGGAGGGGGCGGGATATGACAGCAAAGCAACTCTGCCTTCAGGGCAGCCACTCTAAAGAGACACCCTGAGGGCTGTAGAGGGCTGCAGAGGGTTGCAGGTGTGCCTGACATTGCAGCAGCTACAGGCTGAACTCGCCTATGGGAAGGAAGCTTGGCTGGTCCCAAACAGCGGTGTAAGTATGAAGGTGAAATCCAACAGAGTTGGTGGCGATAAACCAGGTAAAACATGGGACCAATGAGAGGGCTCGGTGAGTCAAGGGGCTTGCCACCAAGCCTGGTGACCTCAGTTCAAACCCTTGAGCCCACATAGTAGGAATGTACTGACTTCTACATATTGTCCTTTGAACTACACACACACACACACACACACACACACAGAGAGAGACAGAGACAGAGACAGAGACAGAGACAGAGACAAGGGTGATGGAGAGAGAGAAAGAGAGAGACTTTTCAAAGAAGTTGAAATGTTTGGATTTTAAAGCCGTGTTGAAATGAGTACACGTTCCTGGAAAGATTCGAAGATCATTTTGCATGGTCTTCCATGCCATTCATGCTGTTTCCCCACAGGGACCTTCACATCAGACACACAAAATCCAAACAAGACAGACTATGGGTGCGACACATAGATCTAGTGCAGTAACTGCGCTCGGAGCGTAGATGGGGCAGCCTTGGCTGAAACAGACAAAAAAACAACATCCTCTTGTCACAGAGACCTGTTTGCCCATCCCCCAGTGCCTTTAGCCCAGGTGGAGTCCCCTGGGGCAGCTTCCGGATAATTCACCTTGCAGAAGCTAATACCTCACAAATTAACTACACAAGGTAGGAAACACAAGGGACCACAGAATCCACGTGAGATGTGTGTGCTGTTTCTCTTTATGGTTCAGATGCTGGCAGGGCTCCTGGGCAGGGACTAGGGAGACAGCTCTGTTGGTAGAGTTCTTGTCATGGAAGCCTGAAGGCTTGATTCTGATCTATGTTTAAAAAAACCCAGGCCTGGGGTTATGTGCTCAGAATCCCAGCATAGAGGGTGGAGCAGAAACAGGCTGGAACATGCCAATGAAGTAGATGGTGCCTGAGGAATGACATCATGAATGGTCTCCAGCCTCCACATGCATGTATGCACACGCACACACACTAGCACATACATGCACATGCTACCAGCTTCTCTAGGGGAGTCCTGGTTGGGGTAGCCAAACCCGTGAAGTCATTGCATGGCTGGCTACGCATCTTCATAGCGGTTGAGGACCTACTGTGTGCCAGACAGTGTAAAGCAAGGGGGGAGGCCTGAGAGCAGACACCCCATAACAAGTGGGTGAAAGTGAGCGAGGGGTCAGCTGCTCACAGAGCTGAGGCAGGAGTGTTACTCAGAAAGCGGAATGATTGCCACCACTGCAGAGACAGGGACAGGGCCAAGGACTGAGAAGCCAGAGGAGGAGGGGATTGTGGCACACACCTAAAGCCACCATCTGTCAACCCTGGAGAGGAGCACAGGGAGGAACCAGCCCTGCCCACACATTGATCAGACTTTAGAACGGGGTACGAGGGGGGATATATATTGTGATATATCAGGCTGCCGTGTCTATGGTTCTTCCCTACAGTGGCCCCACGACATGAACACCCAGATCTATCCTCAAAGCTCAGTTATGCTGTTCTGGCAAACTCCCCTGGCTGAGGCCACCATGAGAGAGGCTCATCCGATGGGACAGAGTGGCGTTCAGGCAGCCTGGGTACTTCAGACAACTGAGATATTCCAGGCGGTCATGGGGGAGCCTCATGGCCCTACTTTCTCTGCTAATGGAGAATGTGGAGGGAATTGGTAGGTGAGTCCCCCAGCTGGGCCTCTTGCCAGGTAGAAGGGCAGAGAGTTAGCAGGGGAGGGGTGCCCACCAGCAGAATAATAGCCCTTTAGTATGGACCTCAGCACAGCTTCCTGATGCTTCAGAGAGAGAAAGGCACCTCCACCTCTCACCTCATCTCTAAGATAGGCCCTGCGTGGCATCAGAGCATCCTTGAAGCCCCCAGACTGTGAAAGTGATGGATGGTCCTCATGCTGGGGTGTGAAGAAAAACCCACATCCTTACACACACACCACCCACACACACACACACACACACAAATAATACCAGGCATTTTTCCTAACACACAAGCGTAGTACACTATCAAAAAGTTTGAGTTTAGATTGGAAAAAGAAAACCTCAGCCAGGCCAAGAAGCTGTCATCCCAGTTGCTCAGGAGTCGGAGGCAGGAGGATTGAAAGTTCAAGGCCAACTTGGGCAACTCAGTGAGACTGTCTCAAACAGAAAAAAAAGGAAAAGCTGACATGCATATAGCATGTAGCTCATGTTTGGCATGTAGAAGACCCGCTGCATGAAAGAGAGAGAGAGAGAGAGAGAGAAAGAGAGAGAGAGAGAGAGAAAGAGAGGTGTGGGAGGGAGGAAAGGAGAGAGGGAGGGAGGGGAAAGAAAGGAAGAAAAAGAAGGACAATCTCATTTCCCCCCAGGACTCCCAGAACAGCTGCCACTAGAGGTCCCGCGGGGGTGTCCCCCACTTCCGTGAACACTCATTCACATCCACCTGTTGTCCCCTTACACATGGGACACCACCCACAGCGGCATACCTGCTTTCCCTCCACAGACGCACGGATGTGGGGCTCACGCAAATCTGCATGCACTTTCCCAGCGTGTGAAAGGAGGGAGGGCACAGTCATGTATGTACCTGGTCAGTCCCTTCCTGCCGGGTACAGCAGTTGCTCTGCCCCTCGCCCTACAGACAGGCTTGTAGCTAATGTGTTTGCATAGGCATCTTTATACAGAGGGTCTAACGTTGGGGCATCTGCACCTGCAGGCTTCATGGGCCAATGATGCAAGTACAGGGCCAGCATGCAGCTAGCTGCTCCCATATTTATGCAACTAAGGACATTTCTTTAAAGGGTAAAACAATTTGACATTGCCCAACTTGTAAAAAAAAAAATCATCCTAGGCTGGATGTGGTGGGTCACACCTTTTTGTTTGTTTGTTTGTTTGTTTTTCAAGACAGGGCTTCTCTGTGTTGCTTTGGAGTCTGTCCTGGAACTAGCTTTGTGTAGATCAGGCTGACATCGAACTCACAAAGATCTACCTGCCTCGGCCTCCTGAGTGCTGGGATTAAAGGTGTGTGCTACCACCACCCAGCGGGACTATGATCTTTAAAAGCAACCAAGACTTAGACTGGCAGGGATGGCTCAGTAGGAAAGAGATTTGCCATGCAAGCCTGGTGACCTGAGTCGATCCCTGGGCCCAGGGGGATGGAGAAAACCCACGCCACCGGATTGTCCTCTGACCTCCACATGTACATAATAATAATAAAATCACAAAAACAAACACCCAGACACCTTGCGTGTGGATTTCTCACTTCCTGGCCTGAGAGACAACGTTTCTGCTGTACCAGGGCATCCAGTGTCTGTGTTGGAGTACCCAGTACCAACCAATTCAACGTGTCCCTTCACAGATGACACAAACGTCTTAGACACAGACGGCTTCTCTGCTGACAGGCTCCTGACAATCATTTCTGGGAGGAGGAGACAAAGAGCCCGCTCATCCTGTGGCTCCAGCGCAGGTGTCCCTGAACATCTTGGGAAGAGAAGCTCCCCGGGCTCCTTTCTGCCTGTTTCCAGTTGCTCTGCCCTGATTTTCAGGCTCTCCTCATTTAGAGTGCGTGCTTCCCCGTCACCAGGTGGGGCCACAGAAATGCCTGGTGGAAGTGATCCCAACCAGCTGCCTAATGAAAGCAGCAGGGTGCCCAGGCAGCTGCCTCATTTTCCCAGAAACCCAACGCCAGGTGCTCACCGCACGGAGACTGGACCAGCCCCGATGGTGGAGCAAAGCCCATCTCTCTGTAGCTGGCTGTCACGCATTCCCTGCTGTGTAGGCTAAAATGGCCGGAAGCAGGACAAGGTTGCCCGTGCTGCGGACTCCTCTCTGCATCCCCAGAGGTTGCCTGGTGCCCCATCTCTTATGAGTATCTAGAGATAGACTCTTATTCCCAAGCCTTTGCTCACTGGTGCCAGGTCCAAGGGCATCAGCCTGCCATCACTGGGCAGGCTGGGTCTGCATTTTAAGCAGGCCATACACATGCACGTGGATGCCGGGGGAAACACAGGCCGAGCAGAGCCCACAGGCAGAACCCAGGGCACTTCGACGTGGTGAGTGCAGGCTCTCTTCCTTTTAGCAGGCTTATGGGTGCCAGGAGACCCCACCCACCCCAACAGCCTTCCTCTTCTCTGAGGACCCATGGCTGGTGTTGTCCTTGTGTGTTGGACATTGGTTGTTTTGAAACTAGTTTTATAGCAGCTTCCAGCATTGCAGAAACCAGACACGCACTCTGACAGGGAGACCACACACCCCAACAAAGAGACTGGGTGCCCTGATGCAACAGAAACTTCAACCCCCAACACAAAAGCTAGAAGTCCACATTCAAGGTGTCCGGAGTGAGGACTAAGAGGGAGGCTCTGCCCCCTCTGACCACAGACACTTCACGGCAGCCTCTACTCTACCTTCAACGCCCTTCAAAGTTTCCAAGCAACTGCGGGTGAAGCTGGGTTGGGTCGGTCATGGGGCCAGTGGCCTGTTAGATCCTTTCTCTCAACTGCTGTTGGATCCGGTACAGCGTGTGCGTCCCTGTATACCTTGGCTCTGGTGACCTCTGTAGCTTCCAAGGCCTGAGCAGCAAAGCCCCAGATGCTCAGACTTAATGGATCTTATTAATTTACTCCTAGACCAGTGTAGTCGTGACCCCTTGGTTAAATGACCTTTTCACAGAGGTCGTATTTCAGATAAGTGCATTACAGTTCAAAACAGTAGCAAAAATTACAGTTACAAAGTAGTAATGAAGTAATTTCGTGGTTGGGGTCACCACAACATGAGGAGCTGTATTAAAGGATTGCAGCATGAGGGAGGTTGAGAACCACTCTCCTTCAGTATCAGTAGGAGCTTTTCAAAGGACTCAGACTCTGAACAACCTTCAGAGTGGGGTCCCTGACTTTGGAGCCCTGGGATGGCACTGAAAAACCAGTGTCAATGGCTGCACCCCAGGCAGAGGTGACATGAGACATTGTGGCTCCAAAGGGCATCCTACGAACAAGCAGGACAAGGCTGGGCAATGGCCACCAGTTTGAAAATGGAGGGAACCCTGCCTCCTCTGGGGGCCCCTGCAGCCTGCTCCCAGGCTCCTCTTCACCTTCGACCTTTGACCCTGTCACAGTCTTTTGTTCCCTTTGGAAGCTCGGCCTTGAGGTTGCTGTGTATACACGCCCCACTGGTGAGGGTCACGGGTTGCTCAGACCTCCTCTGCATGGAATATCACTGTTATCGTCATCAGATCGACTAACCTTGCCCACAAGAGACCCTGAGATCTGACCAGAGCTGTCTGATATGTGGGGAGTCTGCGGCTATTCCCTCTCGGAAGGAGGGGCTGGGGAGGTCACGAGCCCCTCCCCTGAGATTTGAGCCACTCAGTCCTATGCTCCTCTCCCCACGGCGATTCTGTCCCGGTCGCATTGATCTTGGAAGATGCTGGAGTTCATGGGAGGCGGAAGGGAAACAGAAGGTGATCGTGATCACCCATATTGGGTAGGCTTTTTGCTGATGCAGCTGTTCTGCGAATAACTCTCATCCACACTTCCAAAAGACACCCCAATAAAACTCACTGGGCACAAAACTTGACTTGATTGGAATTCCTTTGGGTCAATTTTCAGTACCTAACATGGAGGAAACAGATATCTGTTCATACTGCCTCAGGAACCTTCACCCAGTATCCCACTAAGAGAATCTGGAGGTGTCCCTCCTCACAAGCAATGATCAGGATCAGGGGCTCCTGGAACCAGCCATGTGATCCCAGGGAGGACCACCCATGGGTCATCTTTGTCCTGGGATTAACCAATGACCTGGCTGGGACTTGAAGGGCTGAGTCTATCCCCATTCTGATTTCATAGGTGGCACTCCTGCCCTGTGAGTTAATGCCTTTGACACTTGATACCTATTCCTGCCTCTCCTCCCCTCAGCCCACCCCTGGGCATCACATCCAACATCAACTCCAACTAGAAATTCAAATCCACATTGCAAAGATCAGGGAAGGCACAGAAGGCAGTGTGGCCTCCAGCTCAGGAAGAATGGGACTCAAGGGACAAACGTGACTATATCTTCTGTCCTCAAACAGGTTACAGTCCCACCCCAGGATGCTGCCACTGTCCCTGTCTCCACAACCTTCCTGGAAACCCTGTCAAGATGCCCTGTCTCCTGACCTTCAGGAATTTGTTTGTTTGCTTTGCTTTTTCAAAGCAGGGTTTCTCTGTGTGACAGCTCTGGCTGTCCTGGAACTCACTTTGTAGACTAGGCTGGCCTCGAACCCAGAGATCCCCCTGCCCCTCCTCTCGAGTGCTGGGATTAAAAGCATGCACCACCACCACCACCACCAGGCTGGGATTTTTTTTTTCTCTTTGTTGAGGCAGAATCTCTCTACCAGCCCAGGTTGGCCCTGAAGTTTGCATACTTCTCCTGGTGAGCCTCCTGAGTGCTGGGATTATGTGCATGGGCCACCAGGTCTGGCTCTCCTGGATCTTTTACAGAGCCCTGTCTTCTTCGAACACAGCCACTACCCTGGTCATAACCACCAGGACCTGAAAACATCCCGTCCATGTGTCCATCCAGCAGTCTGACTTAGAAGACACAGGCGGACACAGGCAGACTTATATGTGAGTTAATTGTCCCCGTCAAGGAGAAGGTACTTTCCTTCATAACTCATATTTGGTGACAGTAACTATGCAGCCCTATGCTATATGTCAAAGGAAAGTCCAGGACTTTCACTGGCCCCAGTTCAGAAGTATCTAAACAAGGAGCTTAGGGGACCTCCTGTGTTTTCAGGACTGACCTAAGGGACTCCCCAATAAGGTCAACCCTGAACTGAGGTCAGCAGTTGATATGACTGACCCTCCCCGAGTCAACTTGCGAGTCAAAAGGAGTTAGCATGCCTCAGCCAGCCCTCAGTCTTGAATACAGAGAAGCACCTCAGCCATTCCCTCACCTCCCTGCAGCCTATTGGTTGCTCTTCCGTCTTCTGATGAGCCAAACCCATAGTCAATCTGTAAATCCCACCAGGGAGCACAGAGCCCTGGACACTGCCTCTGCACTGCTGACTAGGAGACTCTTCATTCTGCCCCAGGAAGTCATGTGGTATCTCTGAGAAGTAGGTGTGGGCACCAGCCCTGGCACAAACCAAAAGCTGGCTACTATCACGACTCGTTGCCTCTCTGTAGACAGAAAGGGATTCCGAGGAGCTAGATGTCACTCACTACCAGTCCCCTGCAGAGAGGCCAGCCCAAGGCCTTACCCGTCCAAGAGGGGAATGACACTCAGAGAGACTATGAGGTCCTTGGCCTTCCAGAAGGTGGCAGGTGGCCCAACCGAGAGAACCTTCCTTTGTTTGTGGTTGGTTGCAAAGATCCAGCGGCTTGTGCCTGCACCAGGACTTCCCCAGCAACCTTGAATGACACCTCAGTTCATGCTGTGAAAGTTCAACCTCGCTAGGTTCCGGGGACTTGACCACAGTACACAGCTGTGTCCCTGAATCCCTAAGCAGAGGCCTGGGATGCTGGGCAGGGCAAGGTTGCAGCTGGAGTCTCCTGACCCCGGGCAGGGACCAATCTACTCAGCAGGCCAATCCATGGCACGGTGAAAGGATTTCCCAACAAAATTCTATCCT